CTTAAGTGGAAAGCAAACTATAGGATAACTTGCACAGTAGAAGAGAGATACATAAACACATAAACTGATGCGGCGCGCATCCCGGTCCCACCATATAATCAATATCAATATGGATATTCACCTTTATTACTCTAGATCAATCCACCCTTATTCCTCCTGTTGCGGCGTGCAACCCGATCCCACCGTACAATAGTAATTCACCCGTATTTCTACCCAATATACCACCTTTATTACTCCTTTTGCGACGCGCAACCCGATCCCTCCATATTATAGCATTTCACCCTTATTACTCCTCAATATATCACCCTTATTCATCATGTTGCGGCGTGCAACCCAATCCCACCATATCAGTACCAATCACATAATAAGAACAAGAATTTTATAATTTAGCTCAAAACTCTCCTCAATATTTAAACCTCAAATTAAAGCAAACGGAAAGCTGTACAAATATGAAACTTCACTCAAATTATACTGCTAAACGAAACCAATCCAAACTATACCATGAAACACCGATAACTGACTTGAGTCAATAATATAAGACAATGAAATTACGGAATAGCTAATACCTTCGACAATGAAAACAATGTCTAACAAGTAGCAATTTAAGCATAGAAATACCAGTGAAACATGTAGCAGTTAAGGCAGGAAACAACATATTATGAACGGGAAGAAAACATACAAAACAAATAAATTGGCGGCGCATAGGTACTCGTCACCTCACTTATAAACCACACACATGGATTTTCACATAGCAATTAAGTCGGGGATCCCTAATCCCTCGAGTCAAAGTTAGACACAACACTTACCTCGATCTACATGCCACTCACTACTCAATTACCACTTTTTCTCTAGTTTCCACCTCCGAACCACTCGTATCTAGTCATAAATAACTTAATAATATCAATTTTTGCTAGAGAAATCAATACCAATACATAATTACAAGTTTCCAACATTTCCCCCAAAAAGTCAAAAACCGACCCCGGGCTCGCTAGGTAAAAACCCGAAATTCGGACAAAAACCCGATTACTCATTCGCCTCCGAGCCCGGATATACCATTGGTTTTGGAATCTGACCTCAATTTGAGGTCTAAATCCCCAAATTTTGAAATCCCTAATTTCTACCCAAAAATCTCCAATCCCACCATGAAAACCTTAGATTCTAGGTTGAAAAATAAAGTGAGAGATTGAAAGAAACTAGTTAGGAATCACTTACCTTTGATTTGGGGAAGAAATGATCTTTGAAAAATCGCATAGAGGGTTTCTTGTGTTTGGAAGTTTTGAAAAATGAGAAAAATCCCGTCTGAGTCAAGACGTATCAGTTGCAAATGTCTCATTTGCGAGCTGAGCGTCGCATTTGCGACCTAAGCTTTCCATTTGCGAAGCTCGCAAATGCGAAGTCATCGTATTCCCGCAGCCTTCGCAAATGCGAACAACTTGTCGTAAATGCGAACGTGGTCTTCCGCAAATGCGGACCTATTCTTCGCCAATGCGAAACTACCCAGCCCCCCCCCCCCCCCATGCTCGCAAATGCGAGATCTGCAGACCTGAAGCATACCAACTATGTTTTCTAAGTTTATTTCACTCCGTAGCCTATCCGAAACTCACCCGAGCCCTCGGGCTCCAAACCAAGTATGCACACAAGTCTTAGAACATCATACGAACTTGCTCGTGCGATCAAATCGTCAAAATAACATCTAGAACTACGGATTTAGCACCAAAACACACGACATTCCTAAGAACACTTTGAAATTTCTATCTTCACAACCGGACGTCTGAATCACGTCAAATTAGTTCTGTTCTCACCAAATTTCACAGATAAGGTATAAATATTATTTTGGACCTGTACCGGGCTCCGGAACCAAAATACGGGCCCGATACCAACAAGATCAAACATTAACCAAACTCTTAAAATCATTTGATTTTCAGTCTTACAATTTTCATCAAAAATTCATTTCTCGGGCTAGGGACCTCGGAATTTGATTCCGGGCATACGCCTAGGTTCCATATTTCGATACAAACCAATCGGGACTGTCATAACACGAGTCCGGGTCCGTTTACTCAAAATATTTACCGAAGTCAACTAAATTAACTTTTAAAGGCAAAAATTATTATTTTTATCAATTTTCCACATAAAAGCTTTTCGGAAACGCGCCCGAACTGTGCACGCAAAATGAGGAGGAATAAAATGAGGTTTTAAAGGCCTCGGAACACGGAATCGAATTCTAAAACATAAGATGACCTTTTGGGTCATCACAAATGTTAGCAAGATTAGTCAACATTTATCTCTTTCGATGCAACATCAAGATCTTATTTGTAATAGTGGTTTTGTTGGTTGGTTAATTGGTCACATTTTATTCATGAAATGGCTTGGATTGGTACTAATCTGGATACGGAAAAATCATTCTATTAGATCGAATAAGTACATTCGACCTAAGTACATTCGATCTAATAAGTACCTTGTGTTAGAATTGAAAATTTCTATGGCTAGAATCTTTAGTATTCTCTTATTTATTACATGTGTCTACTATTTAGGCAGAATACACTCACCCATTCTTACTAAGAAACTAAAAGAAGACTAAAAAATAGAAGAAAGAGTGAAAAATGAGGAAGAAAGAGATGTAGAAATAGAAACAGATTCCGGATTCTGTTCATTCTTCCTCTATGTTGTTTACGGAATCTTGTTCTTTTGGGGTTATAGTTTACGGTTGTTTCTGAATTCCATCTCTACTACAGAACCGGACGTGAGAGTTTCTTCTCATCCAGCTCCTCGCGAATAAAAGGATTCAAATTTTTTTAATTTGAATTAAGATAGAATAGTCATTCTTAAGTTAAGATATATATGTATTTACGGAGTAATACCTTGAACTTGAGATTCTTTGAGATTTCATTCAATCTATTAGTAATCTGTATATCTTGTTTTAATAGATAACTAAACTTTATAGTTTTATAAATAGAAATCTAAAACAAATTTGTATTATTATACTAAATCCTTATTTTGTCTTTATTGTATTGTCCTAAATTTTGCAATAAAAAAAGTTTTCACGCGAGAATATTGACTCTTTCAATCCCTATTTCATTTGTAGGGTTAACTCGTGACTTCTCATATCTCCGAATACATGAATTAATCTCTGGTTCGTTTCGCCATCCCGATCAGTGAATCATTAAGATTCCCTTTTCAATAGAATCTTTTGCATTCACAAGTTTCGTCGTTCCCATCACTTCTTACTTAATGGTTAGGTCTGAATTCTACAATGGAGCTCAGAATGAAATTTGTTCTTTGCCAAGTGTCACATAAAAATTCAACAAGTGTCGAATTTTAGGACAAAATTAGTTAGGTTAGTTAATAATTAGTTACTCTTTTTAATTTAAATTTAAATAATTAAATATCTATATATTTTTAAGAAAACTATTATAAAAAAGGAAATATATACTCTCCTTTCAAAATAAATTAGTCTTATCATTTATATATATATTATAGTAGACTTTTTTTTATATAAATAAGAAAAGACTTATATCATTATATTTTTGATGAATTCAAAACTATAGTTTATTAAATAAATATTACATTGTTTAAATTTCACTAAACTACAAAATGAGAAAAATAATCAAATATTACAGTAGAAAAGAATGTACGAAAAGAGGGGGATAAATATAATTTTATGATATTTATATTTTGAATTAATTTTAAAAAAATAACACTCAAAAAATTAGTGATAAATTTAGACAATTGAAGAATTTTGAACAGTATAACATAAGTTTTAAAAAAAAAATATTTGAAGAGTAAGTACTTGACAAGTTAATATATATATATATATATATATATATATATATATATATATATATATATATATATATATATATATATAAGTTATTTGATAAAGCCAATGGACAAGTTAATAAAAAGTCACATCAGTAAATGCATAGTAGTAAGTACTTGCTAATTTAATAAAGAATAAATAATGAACAAATAATTTATTTGATTCCTATATTACATGTCCTTTGATTTTGTATAGATTTTATTATATTTCTGCATAATATATTAAATAATAAAATAACAACTAATATTTATTAAATTATTATAATATATTAAATTATAAATTTATAAGATTAATATTCTGTCAAATTATCCGTGCATGACGCTAATTCTAACACTAGTTTCACTAAAGAAAGAAGAGAGAAAATTGACTTTGGAGACCAGCATTAATGGTTTCAACAAAAACTGGAAAAAAAATATTATTATGCTCATGCAGCCATGACTATTTTTTTGGTTTGAGTTGTAAGGATGTTAATAGGTGGGTTTTAAGAAAGAGAAGTAGGAGACTTTATAGGAAAGGAAAGTTGTGGAGGATTTTTGTGTTTTTTTGGTCAAACAAGGGATACCATTGTTTGACTATTGAAATAGGGCCATAGGGGTGGGGAAGGGCGACTAAGGTGTAAAAAAATTAAAAAGGAGGTGAGTTTAATTTTCAAATTAACACATTAAGATTGGAGACTAACCATTTTTCGTATGTAAGGGCAAATATAAATATATCTCAGATCATTTCGCATAGTTTAGGACAAATTTGACTCTTTTTCTGATAATTTTAGCAATACATTTTGTTTTGATAACAGTAGTACATAAATAACAAATACTCCCTATTTTCCTGAAAACATTAATCTTTCATCAACCAACATATTACTATATCTATCCAATGTACAATATTAACACAAAACAAGGGTTTGTGGTGGAATGGTAAGTAATCTTTCATCATTAACGAGAGAGTTCGTGTTTGAGCTCTGGGTATGTATTCTCCTCTGACATTGAATTCGAATTTAATGAGACCCCAATGCAAAAACCAGATGCCGCAAGGGAAACAAAAGAAAATGTACAATCCGGTGGAAAACCAGAAAAGAAAAAAGAGAGTACACTACTAGCCAAACCTTGCAAAATTCACTAGTTAAGTAGACTAAAAACTGCACAAGCACGATCAAAGAAATACATCTTGACAAAGTTGGGCTATGTAGCAACAATTCATCCCAGTATAACTGTATATTATATGTTTTCCAAGGCTAAAAGGGCAAACAGTTAGTTATTCTTACATACAAGCATATCCCAAAACGGAACGAGAGGTAGCTGTTCAGTGAAATCCTTTCCAAAATAAGATCAGTAAATAATTCCTTAATTACTTTACAAAAGAGAACTATAATGGGGCTATACAAGAGATGCTGATTGCACAATGCTGTAATTCACTTCTGAAATTCCTACACAACTGATGTACAGTAAACTACCCTGTATTTCTCACCAAAAGATGCCATGGAAGCAGACCAAAAATATGTTCCAGAAAGGGAAGTCTCCAACATAAATAAACATAAGAGGCTATGTTTCAAGTAATTACATGTATAGGCCTCAGAAGAAGCAAAACCAGCATCAAGGAGGAGCACTGCTGATATACATGTCAGTGCTGTACATTCCAGGTGGAGATCCCAACTCTTCTATCTGCTTTTTATACTCGAGCTTTTTGGCCAACTTCCTCGTGTACTTTTCTCTACGCCTATTCTCATCCTTTATCTGATCTTGCATTCGACTTAGCTCCAGCTTCTTTTCTTCAAGTTGCTTCAATATCTCCACTCTGTCAGAAGAGAGTGGTAACTGGCTTTCCGGACAGATGACTGGAAATAGAATGTATGGTTCCCTGAACAAAAATAAAGGCAGACATTAATCAATAAGGCCCATGATGTCATGCAGATTCACTTCATCATTACAAGAAACAAATAAGTGACAGAGAAGTAGGGAAAAAAAGGTAAGTCATTGGTTATAAAGAGAAAAATAGTATGACTCGAATGAAACAGCTATCAAACACTGATGGCATAGTCTTACATACCCGAATCCAACAGATACAACTCCATTCCCTCTCATCATTCCACCATCCAAGGAAACCGCACCATCTTCTATGCAGGAACTTGCCATGTAAAGGTGCTCTCTAGACTCGTATACCTGAAGCTTACCAAGCAGGCGATAAAATAATGTCTCGCGAAGACCATGACCTGAAGCAGTTCTCAACTGCAAATGCTCTGCAGGAGGAAATATCATATTAACCGCATACCCCACAAAGCCCGGGGGAGTTTCTCCGTTGGATAAAGTAGGGAGCGGAAGAGCAAGTTCTCGTTGGAGATCACTGCTGACTCCTCGTGTATATGGTCTGAAAAGAAGCAAAAAATTTACACACTCTATGTTCAGATAGCATGATTTGTCAACTGGAGCGACAAACCTACAACCAGAACTATAAAAAACATACGAGTATAAAACAAACCGGAAAAAATAAGGTTTTTACCTTATATCCTCAAGGCATATAACCAAATATCGACCGTTGATGGAAATTCCAAGCTTAGCTGCTAATATGTCAAGAGGACTGGCGCAATTCACATTTCCATCCATTTGATACTTTTCAAGAGCTCTGGCAGCTGCACGGGATTTGCATACTACAGCAAGCATTTGATCTTCTCCTAGATATGCTGAAAACATGCTAAGACAAGAAAAGGCACTCAGTTACATCCATATGTCCAAGGATGTTTTATACTGCAATCATATAAAAGAAAAGCACGCCAATACCAACCTGCTAAGCTTATGGGTCTGAACCTCTCCAAGCAGTGCAACCACACCAAGTATGTCATTAGCATATTGAAGATGTAGCTGTTTCGATATTGGTGATCTGAGGAGCTTGTGGACAACAGCAGCTGCAGTGTCAGCCTTTCCTTCAATCCTCTCCACAACCATGTTTCTATTGTAGCCTAAGTCGTGAAAAGAATCAGGACCGATCTTTGCTGCATCCATAAGCATTTCATGTCACAATTTGTAAGATGCATTTAGTACGTCTAAAAAGAAGGCAAGGCACTCCGTTTCTAATTAGGTGATCCTCTACTAAAAATAAGCACCAATCTCTTCCTATTTAACAGATTGTTAAATTGTAGGATTATTTATGGCACCACGACAAGAAAGATGAGGAGAAGTTCTGGGAGAAAAGCACAGGACACCAGGAACAGAAAAAGAATTACAAAGACCGCCTTTTAACTGTTCAACACGCACACTGAAGTAGTAAAAACTTTTAAGAGTTTCTCTTTTAGCAATTTGTCTTTGTTCTTTCTTTGATCTTCTTCCTAAAATAACTAGCTTTTCTCCTTTAATCATAGAGTTTGAAACTGAGACGGCAACATGGACGTGGTACCACGACTTCATATTCCTACTCTTTCATTCACTTCCTTCACACGCTCAATATTGTCTAATCTTACCATCTTTACGCACATAAGACATTCACACGATGGCATTTTATAGCCAGAGAATTGAGTAGGCAGAGTTAAATCAGAAAAAGACACAGCCTCTCCATTTAACCACCTCAAGATTTACCTCATAATATTTTACATTTCCTTTCTGGCATTTATAGTCCCTTAACAATTATGGAGAGTCAGTGTTTAGTCCAGAAGATAGTTTAAAAACAAAAAGCATTCTCCGTAAAATCGAAAAAGATAAGCACACATAATAGAATATTGCCTTTGATTTCTTGTTCCACTTTACAATTTTCTAGACTACATAGCGCCAAACCATATGCAACACACTAGCATGAAAGAAACATGATAACTTCCATAGAAAGCTGAAGGCATGAGGCGCAGACAGTAGTATATAAGCATCAGTGGAATTAATACCTCCCAAGTTGGACATCTCAAGCACAATATTTGATTCCCTAAAGCGAAGTATTTCCAGATTTGCGTCACACTTGTTGATGCTTAGACCACACTTGCAAATATCATCCACAAGTTTCTGTCAAGAAACACAGCTCAAGTTTAGTGACAGTCATGCAACAATGAAGTGAATATGCCAAAAGAAAAGGATGGTAAAAATTTCATTGGTCCTTCACGCAGAACCTGCTGCTGCTTCTAACCCTCCTATTACTACTACTACTACTGTGTGTAAGAATAGTCAAGACAAAGCACTTGGAGACATACATTAGAACAGAACAGAACCATATCCTCTAAGAGATATGGTTCAAACTTCAAACATTCAGAAAGGTCATCCTCCATCACCAAAGGAAAGAATAATTTGATTGATTCACGAGAGTACCATTCGTAATTTTGAAACACATACTTACCTTTTCAAGTTGGTTTTGTAGTCTTCCTTCCAGTTCTGCGGAAGCACATGGATCCTTCAAGAGCAATATACTTCCATCAGAAAAATCATCATAGGTGTGATCATACACAATTCCTGGGGCTTTTGAATAATATGAATCCTCAAGAAGCATAAGCTCTTTCTTTCGATTTCTAGGTTGGGGAATTTCATGCTCATCGTTTACCGCCTTCTCAACATGCACCTGCACATAAAACTATGAGGTTGCGGTACTGGCAAGATAGAAATTAGTGAATCACCAAGGATAAAAACCTCTATGCTTGTCTGCAGCTCGTGGAAACGAGAGTGACTGGCTACAAAACAGAAAAGCCCTTCATTCTTTGGAAGAGGAACGGAGCGGACAATGCAGCGTCCATGATAGAAGCTGTATTTCACATTGTCTTCTCCCCTCAATGTGTCCTGCCTTATCAGAAGCGTATGAGAGTGGCCATTTTCCTCTTCATCATGGATATCTTCATCCACTTCACCAGCAGAATTTATGACCTCAAAGACAATATCTTCCAAATGAGAACCAGCGGCACAAACTTTAGGTACCTGATGTAAAGGAAACACCAGTAGAACCTTTTCAGGTGCACATTAATATTCAAATCATCTTTTCACTTATATAACAAACAAATATTTCTCTATCCCATCATATTGCCCATCTTTGAGACTTCAAATTCTTAAAGAGACATGAGTCAGGACGTCAAGAAATTGAAAACCAAGTAATTCCCAATTCTAAAGATCTGCGAATAAAAATAATTTTGGCCACACTCTATGTCAAGGCCAATGTTAGAAACTAAAAAGCACAAAAAAAAAAAGTCATGCATTCATTATTTAATATGGACAATGGTTTGTGACACAGAAATATTGAACTATTGGCAACAACTAAGGGATTGAGGAGCTCTGACAAACCTTGGATGCAACTCGCAACCATCTCTCTTCAGTTTGGAACTCTTTCTTGAGAACTACATCATCGCCAGAAAAAATAGAAAGGAAAACTGTGGGCAGAATAAATAACTGGTTAAAGGACTGGGGACCATTGATCTTGCAATTCTTCAAACACCCTTATCCCACACATTCATTGCCACCAAATAAATGGAGTCTTAATGCAACTATGAAAAAGATATTTAAGCAATAACATTATATTGGATCTGCATATTACTTAATCCAAGAGGATGAAAAAGTCTTCCTTTTTACTACTAAAGCTTTACATTGGTTAGACTCTTTCATAAGGACATCTCGATCGATGAAGTCAAATGAGTTACGTGGAAGCAAGATTACCAGCAGTCAGCACACTGCTAAGCAATAATACTGGTAGTCTGGCATCATTCCCCGCAAAAGAAGTTACGCAGGTTATGAATTTTGGATCATGATGTTAAATCAAAAAATATAAATCCTCAGTACTGCAACAACATTGATGATGTGTTAAAGCACATACCAGGTCTACCATATCCTGCTGTAACCTTCAAGGTTCCATCAAGGTTTACACACCCATGAATGTCCACCTATATCACGAGATATGAAGCTTAGAATACCCAATAGACTGTGGATCAAACAACGTAAAAAGAAACAAGAAACCTGATGAACTTACACCATTTGAACTAGAAAAGAGCAAAGGAAACTGGAAACAAGCAAGTTTAAAAGAACAAGACATCAAACACCAAGAGGCATGCACCAAGCCACCATCGCAGATAGAGATGCTTTAGCTAATTTATCAGTCCGAAAGTGTAATATATAACACCACTTATGCGTCTATGCATATATGAATGTATACAAGTTACAGAACATACAGATGCTAAAACTAAGACAACTCCTGATTGGCTCACATGACCTTGAAAACACCTACTGTCTTAATATTACTAAGCCCAAATATAAATGGATCAAGGAACTATACCGACAAGTAATAGAAGAAACATGATTGATCTAAACCAGCTATTGAGATAGGTTAAACAGAAAAGAGTAATTTGAGATTTTTGGGCTGTTTCAAGACAAAAATTCAATACAGCGGTCGTCTGCAGACCTTAGACAATTTCTCCCAGAGTCAGAACCATAAAAAGAATCCCGGCTTATCTGCAGTGACCATTGATAACTTACTAAATGACACAAGTTCCCAGATACATGGTCACCGACAGGATTTGACTTGCATAGGAACTAAATAGTTAGCTAGACTTGCATATTGCAGTTGTGGCAAAGACTAAATTAATTAAAAATTGTGCAAGTTAGGAGGTTCATGTTCCCATCTGCATCTGATTTCTTGAAACTTCATGCCAGCTGAGAAGTAAGTGACACTTTGAGACATCCCTAAATACAAATCTTGTCGTATGTAATCTGATTGAGCAAGTTAAAAAGGAAAGGAAATAGTTCTCACACTTCAAATTGCTCTAAAGCTAATAAATCAAGAAAAAACTACTAACTATCTTCTTCAATGTGCTTTCCCCTCTTACCAACTGGACTATTAGATGTACAAAAAATAGAAAGAGAAAAAAGTAAAGCAACCACCTTCAGAAAGCAATCTCCTTTTTCTAGTAAACATAATCCTTCCAGCATCAGCTTGATGTGCTCATCTTTTCTCATATGATTACCATACTTGTCAAATGTCTGTATCAAAGACAAAATTAAAATATATATATANATATATATATATATATATATATATATATATATATATATATATATATATATATAAATATATACATACAACCACACGACTTGCACGTAACAAAAGGACAACAAGGAAAAACAACTGGAGCTACATGCACTAATAAACCATAAAACAAGAATAAACAAGTGAGACATGAAAGTAAGTTTTTTCTCTACATCAACAAAGAGTAGAAGATTTCACTATCTATCAAGCGGCTTCTAAGTTTGAGATTTTCAGAAGCAACAGGCATATGCTCTTCCTCATGTCGTAAACGTAGTCAAAAATCTGAATCTTCTGATGCAAGGTTACAACTTCTTTTCACCAACATTGATGAATTGCAAGTAAAAACAGAGTTGTGGTATGACAAAGAAAAATTATTATAAATTGTACAGATTTTATAATACAGCAAGACAAAAAAGACAGCCACAGTGATTCCTGAGAGCTGAAGACTAAGTTGGAAGCTGAGCAATCCTAACCTTGCGAAATCCTTACCATTTTCAGGTCCCATTGTAGCTGCACTGATCAAACCTAACCTTGCGAAATCCTTACCATTTTCAGGTCCCATAGGTTTCAGTTTTTATCAATCATGTAGTATTATTAAAAGCAGATATAAAGAATGCTCATTGACAAACATACAGGGACCATTTATCATGTAGAATAAACGCAAGGACTGATGCATTTACCTTTTCAGAAAATAGAAAAAAAACCAAAGGATGACTGTGTTTGCCTTTTAAAAAAAAGAGCAAAGGATGGAGATACCACACTAACTTGCAATACTCTACCAATCGCAAAAGGTTTATGTCAAACTGGTCATACTGGGAAGCAAAAAGCAGACTCATTAGAGCTTGCTTTGGAACTATGGCTCTCATGTGGTTGCTTTTGTTGTAAAGAAGAAGCAACACATCTCACATCCTTCAAAGCAGGATATAGGAACTTGAACACTTCCACTTAAACTCAACACACACGCAAAAGTTGCCAGTCATATATTTTATTTCTCTCATCAATACCTAGAACAGGCACTTGCTTTATTCCACATAAGATTTTTTGCAATTTCCAACACTCTCCAAGATGAATGAACCGTCTAAGATATCAGATGATCCCATCTGTGCTAGTAGACTAGTAGTGGCTTCTCTTGCTTCCTGAAATTAGGAGCCTATATACACCTTTATTTTTCTAATAAATTGCATATCGGACACCGTTTTTTCTAATAAATTGCCTATTATACATATTTATTTCTTTTTTTTTATTAATTTCCTATTTTACACTTATATATAAATTGCTGTTATTTTGTCAAAGGGACAATTTTTTGTGCCTTGAAAATTTCAGTTACAGTGTTTTTCACAACTTAAAGCATGACAGGGGTTTTAAATACTATTAACTAGAAAATGATCCTCGTCTTAAAAGAATGCTGAATTTTAGTTCTATATGATACACAATACACCTTATGGTGATAGTAGGGTGTTGAATTAAAATTCCATTACCTCCAAAGCAAGCTCCTTAATGATCATTCCTGGAACCAATTTCTTGCCAAAATCTACAGGATGCAGAAGGACGCGTTGCAAAGGTCCAGGAATAACTATAAGCAGAGGAAAACAACTAAGGAACAGCACATATATTATATATTCTCAGTCAACGGAAAACAAAATTATACATCAATTACCTGTACAAGGAATAGCTGCTAAAACCGGGTCATCCTTTGAACATATATGTAAGGTAGCTTCATAACTTGGTCGAATCTTATCCAAGTCACTAGTTTCAATAATTACATTCTGAAGAGTGGAAAGTTTAGATATAATTCTTTATTTAGAGAAGATTTGACAAGTGTACTGTGAAGGACTTGAAGCTGGGATCATATAATGTCACCTTAAACTTCATCGTATATCTGTCACGTGAAATGAATTGATCATAGTGGCACTTGGACTCAACAACATTGGCACTAGAACTTAACTTCATCTTTATCTTTGTGTGCAACTTGAATGGAATACGATTGGAAAATCTATCATAACATGCAACGCACAAAAACTCTGGAAAAAAAGAACCAACCCTGCCAAAGAACATTTTAGACACCATCAAACTTTGTCACGAAGTGAACGAGTTGCTTATACGCAGGTGAAACAAATAGTCAGTTTGTCTCAAATAGACTGCAAAGGAAAATATGCTACAATGCAACAACGGTAAGGTTGTACTATGAAGTTTACTACCACATGCATCTGAGACTAGATGCTGATTCTTAATTGCTGATAAGTGAGATACTTAAGGCAAATGGAGAAAGAAATAAAATGTTGCATGACAGCTCTTAATTGCAGGGAAAATAAATGCTTCATAGGTTTAATCTAAATAACTCACCTCAGAAATATTGAAAACAAGGCATTATTAAGGAAACAAGGCAAGCATTATACTGACGAATATGAAACTCATTCAACTATAATAATTCTATTTCCTATCCATGCACAATTTGATAAAGTCCTCAACAGATTAAATCAAACTCCATTCCTTCACAGACTGCAAATCCAAAAGAATTAAGAGAAAACGGGCATTCAAAATTGTTGAAGATCCAAAACAAAAATAAAAGTGTCTTTCTCTAATAACTAAAACATTAGATGAGGCAATTCAAACAATCAGTGTAGGCAGAGTCTAGAGTTTGATTCTCACCACCACCCTTCAACAAAAATATTTCAACGTGCTTGGCACAGGGCTAAGAATCAGTTAGAAGCTTGTTGAAGAGCTAATATAAATAAATAAAAGTGTCCCCTCGTTAACAGTTCAAGCTTTAAGACAAGGAATGGTTCTTATCTTGTAATGGTTCTTTTACTTTATTCTCCACTCATATTAAAATGCATACAGAGTAAGTGGCCAATGGGGAGTTTCAGAAAATGGACCAATAAAAAGGGAAAGTTTTCTTTATTGAATCATACATGAGGATAGTTTTCTTATCCTAACTCTCCTCTATATCATATGTTTATCGATACAATGCAAGGTAACTAATCATTTTCTCTGTTCTTTTGACTTATAAATGCCATGAGAATTAAGAACATCAATGATATCAGATTTGTATGGCAATCTTAAGACTCAGTGCTGGAAAATTTTTCTTTTTGCACAACTGTATGTAAGAAGTCAGTTTAGAATAGAGATGCCCCACCTTACATTGAGTGTAGTCTTCCCATCACTTATAAGTTTCCAACTAGCAGCCTCGGACAATGCTTTAACACGCACTTCCTTTTCAAAATTTGTACAACTGTCTTGCTGAAAAAAGATCAATAGCAAGGAAAATCAGGGATAACAAACACATTATTCAGTATATCATACAATGGATATATAAGAACATATAACTTACAAGAGAAAATTGAAATAGGTAAACGCCTGCTTTCTGAAATATCTCTGGAAACTTCTCCTTCAGGGGGAATATATATAGACCGTTAAACCCTTTACGCGACGAAGGAGTCAATCGGCCAGAGTAAATATGACCAAGTTGTTTCCTGTCCGCTTCTGCTTCAAATTTGACCTCTAGAGTCATCTGAAAATTTTCTTTCATGATGTATTTCTGATCCAAACTTGCGGATGCAGTAATAGAACTAAAAGAAGCTGGACGAACAACGGCAACAATCTCCTCAGGAGGTTCATGTCCAGCATCAACAACATCCTGAGGTAGTGCCTGAATTTGCAACCAAATTCAGCAATTCAATGAACAAGTATAAATGTGACGTACCATCAAGATCAAACACAGCTGAAATCTGATCAATTCCAAAGATATTCAAAGTAATAGATGCTCAATAAGCCTTGCAGGAAATTTTGAAGAAAATAGAGAAAAGTGTTCCACTAGGCACAAGTACAGCAACTCCTTTACCATGCTGAATAAGTTAAGAACCCTACAGAGCTGTTCAGCTTCATCTTCGTTAACAAAAAGACTATGTCATCTGACTTGGACCCCAAGTAGAAGAATTTAGGGAATGCTATATAAAAAAAATGCAAAAAACTAGCAATCAACTGGAGAAATCATGGAAAACACAAAAATAAATCAGTAATTAAAAGAAGCAAGCTGCTTCTAGAAACTAACCCCCTCAATGCCCAAGTCTTCACATTGCTTGGCATTTAAGATGTCAATTGACGATGGAGTGCTTTTCTCTTGCTGTTTCAAGATTTGGTTCTCCCATTCCGTAATATCAACAGATAAGCACTGCAAAACATGACACTAATTATTTAGAAAAGATAGATATGTAGACAACGCAAAAAATAAACACAACTTAATTGAGCTGCAATAATATGGAGCCAAAACAAGAACCTTTCCGGTGTCGATCACACTAATCGGCAAAGATTTTGAGTCACGGATTTCTATGCTAGCACACCCTTTATCAACTATAAGGCGAGAACCGTTCTCAGCAGGGACGTTTAATGGCCTATAAGTAATCATAGTAAAGACAGGAAAGTTTCAGGTAATAGCGTTGAAGGAGGGGAACTAAAGACCTGGACAAGCAGTGACCTGAAATATTAGAAGTGAATCACTAACCTGCAGATAATTCGAGCCTCGCCTAAAAAATATAGAGAAAAATGTTACAACATCACAACAACGTCAATGGATAGGTTACAGCCGAATTTTAACACATAATGCAGCGGAGAGATATGTAATTACTTAAGCAGTAGCTAGCCATAAGATACCAAAATAGTGAGCTACTCGGAATTAAACAGGTAGAATAGCATACTCTAAGAACCACGAAATTTTGAACACTTACCACCTGATTCCCCCTGACATCCTTCAAGAATAATATATTCTAATGTGGCGAAAACATTGTTCTTGTGGAAACCCCTACAAGCTCCCTTCAAAATTTTAATCTTCTGCCCTGATTTCCAAGTTATTCCTTTCCTTCGTAAAACTTTATGAATTCTCATAACTGAAATTACAAATTACAATGATATGAGTTAACATTAATGGGAAACTACAAATTGCACCAATTCAAAAACAGGCTGCAAGATCACAATAAAATGATGCAGCTAAAAGAATTTATCATAAGGTCTACTAGATTTGTGTTTCAATCAATACCATCTGAAGAAACACCAAGCTCTTTCTTGTGCGAAGGGCTGAGTACAAAAGTAGGTTGATCCTCTCCACAGTCAACCTCCTCATCATAGCGCTCATGCATCTGAATTATCCAGTCCTGATATTGCTTCTCCACTTGCAAGAGAGTCACCTTTTTTCCATCTTTGGATATCTCAACATGAATATCTAAAAGGATTTGAAACATAAGGTGAGGAGACCTCATTGCATCGTAGTGAATAAACATTTCAACAGTGCACAGCAAACCAAAAGTTATTACCTTTCTCTTTCTCAGAAGGCTTGTTGCCAAAGTTCCTTAATGCAATGGTGTAAGGATGGTGATGGGCTAAGTCAGTCTGTGCAAATACATACAGCAGATCTCATCAGAGAAAAGAGGGAAATGCATATATACCATATCATTCTTGGAGCTTGGAACAACACTAAAGAAATACAAATCGAAGACTTGGAGTTGGGAAAGGCTTCGCTCCTGCTTAGTTGATTTACACTGTGTAATAGTTCGTGTCGTGGTACAATTTCCCTTAATTTTTAAAGGGTTGGTAGAGTACCACAAGATTTCCTAGTAGCATACCTTATACATCTATCATTTCACTTTCACTAGGAAATCTCCTGTATGACTCCCTAATTGGCCTCCTTCATTCCAATTTCCAATAATGCTACTTTGACATTACGATTGACAATCATATGGGGTCTACAGGGAAGAGATCTGGAGATAAGGCGGGCCTAAATCAATTATACTGGTAACTCAATTGCGACAACTATAAAATAACTTTTGCAGATGCTGCAGCTATCGAATACATCACTCATGCTTAACGTTTAGGTCCTAAATCAGAGGAGCTCAAGACTTCTACTTCAACATCTAGGATTTGACTTTCCTCCGAATCCTATCTAATTCACTAATTCGGGGGGGGGGGGGGGGGTGGAATATACTGAATATTTGTATTTGAAAAGGATAAGATTACTAACAGCACAAAAATAGAGGGAAGGTTCAAATTCAAAAATGTGTTAGTGATTGTTCCATAATACATGAAAAAATATGGTACAAAATAAATGATTTCTCCAGAAGATATAAAGAAATGGAACAAAATTAAAAATATAAGATTGTCATCAAGGTTGTCCTAGACAAATAGAAGCAGGTCAACAAGCAATGATACAAAATGCACGTAGTGTATGAAGTTTATTGTGTCCAGTGGTGTAAAAAGAATCAGACTGTAGAAAGATTCAAACTGTCAAAGTAAAGAATTATTAGTTGCATTTAGATTCCCCTAGTCTATTCAACAAGCTGAGTATTTCTCTTGTTTTTTACATGGTTAGTTCCTCCATTGATATATACAAAAAAACTTCTCATTTTGCATGCCAGGAAATGAATATCTGTCTTCACAAGTTGTCAGAATGCATATAAGAAAGTTGTCTTGTACCTTTGATGGTGTTGGGTTGAAACCAGCATCCGTCTCTGCAAGCAGAATATTGCTCTATGATGCATGGAACAATGACAAAGCAAAATGCATATTCATTAATTGGGAGTACATATTTGGTACAAATGGTTTTACCTACAAAACATTTTACTCTAAAGCAGCATCTCTTCAAGACTTCAGCCTTATCACCCTTTCTTAGCTTAGGTTCCATGAAGGGAAGCCAAGTCTGCAAGAAACAAAAAGTTAGTTGACATTGTTCAAGCTTGAGAATAACACAAGCATAAAATAACATATAAATAGGCACACACGCCCTTTCTTTCAAAGTTTGGAGAAATCTCATTATGAAAGTAAATTTTGGCAGATTATGGATAGTGACTGAATACAAGATTGGCGGACGTATATAGTTTGTAAATGAATAAAAGAAAGATTCTGATCGACTAACCCATCGACAATCTGGAAGTAGACGACCCAACCGCCGGACAGAAACATGACTAAAACTTTCAAAATTCTCTGTAATTCCATATCCATCCGCCTCTAGCTTTTCCAATATCACCTCAATACTCTCTTTACCCTGCAATTAAAAGCATTCACACATCCTTAAAAAGGTTTTTAAGTGCAGGATCTTTCTTTTTTCTTAGACAAGGAGGTGAATGATCTGTATGCACACCAAAATAAATTCCAAGATACATTGCAAAATACAGAACTAGAGACAGTATAGTGTCACCTGCACCACTGGAAGATAAACACACTTCAGGCGAGCATTTGCTTCTAGGGGTGATCTCTTTCCTGAGAAATTTGATCTCAGACTATAAAATCCTCTATGATAACAGGATTTAATGAAAATACTTGCTAGGTGTTTGTCGTGACAAATGACGTATATGTTACCTGAACCAACTTTTACATTGGTATCGTTTACATGAAATCTAAGTTGTAATACAAACTCAGGACCATTGCAGGACTTTAAGTTTGTGGTTGCCACCTCTCCACCTTCAATTTCTGCTAAATTAGTGCCATTGACCTGCAAATCGCATCAACTGAAAGATCTGCTGAAAAAGAAAGAGATGTCTGCTAGAACTTGCTTTGAAAATAATTGGCAAAAGGTGCTCAGATTGAGAGTTCCCAAAAAATACTAGAACTTGCTTTAACACAAATGGAAGGTGCTCTCATTGAGATTGTTCAAAATTTTGACCAATTAGTCACTTATTTTGTGGTGGTAACGCAACCAACAGATGACGAATTGTGACAGAAACTATCATAGTAGCTGAAAATTCTCACTCAAATGATGGTTTTCCGATTTTTTTGTGGTCAGTAAAGCTTATCTCTCTAACTGCATGACAAAAAGAACAGGATACTCATCAAGAAACAAATGGTACGGGCAACTGTTAGTGAAACTGCACAAAATTGAAGATTAAAAGAGAGAACAACTACCAGCACCAGTTTGAAAGAAAACAAATAGGAAATGCTCGAGATGAGGAAAAGAAACAAAGCACCATCTACGAAATGATAACAGGAAAACAATCTTTTATTTAACTCCTATAACATAGAGAAATAGGAAATCAAGTGGAAAACATGAGCGCTAGATAAAGGATGGTATCCAAGCTAAAAAAGAACATGCAGAAAGAACCTTCCTTCAATGCAAAACAGTTTTTTTTCAGTGAAATAAGAGCATTTGTGCCTCATCTGTCTTAGATAACTAATTTACGTAACAGGCTGAATTGAATTTCTTACCAGAAAAAGCTTTTCAGAGAAGTTGGACAAGAAAACATAATATCCACTATGTGAACTTACCACATGCAAAAGACTGTGAATGCTTTCTCCACTGATGCTTTACAAAGGCAACAAAAGGCAAAAAAAAAAAAAAAAGATAAAAGAGGGACGAAAAATTAAAGCAAATAATCATTTCTCAAAAATTTGAATTAAGTGCCACACAGATAATCAAAGAGGACCTTTAAGGGAATGGAAAAATGGAATGACATCAGAAGAATGAAGCAGTAAGCAAAGACTTCAAAATTCAGAAATGGAGAGAACAAGGTGCCGAGGAAGAGGATAAACTAAGTAAACGTAGTTCACAAGTAACCAGAAGTGTCTGAGACAAGCAAGATCACGCAAGGTAAAAGACTAAATGATACTGTGGCATGCAGACATAAGAGGTCACGGTGAAGAACAAATTCCACATTGGATAACATTTACATTTACAGCTCATTTGGCAACCTTCAAAAAGACGCTAAGAGGAATCCTCAACAACAAATAGATGACATTGCCAGAAAAATGGTGATCTTTAAGATCAAGAGCATGAGAACTCATCCAGAAAGAGAGGAACTCCAAGTGGAGAATTACAGAAAAACAAAAAACAAAAACATGAAGAGAAAGGACCTTTAAGAGGTTCTCAACAAAGAGTAACCAATCATCTGATACTAATTGGTATCTCATGGTTCTCTGAAAATAATACCAAAAAATAAAAATGTTTACCTAAGCTGTACAAAAGTATCTTTCCACCATTTATAAAGACATCAAGTGCATGGTATAGGAAAATTTTCATCGAGTTCTAATATATAGATACTATACCTGAAACTCAATAGGCATTATGGTTCTTCCTGTATTTGACACTTCATCACACTGCACAATGAAATAATAATGAATAAGATACCGAAGGCCAGAGTGCACAGGATAAATCCTATAAGGCAGAGAGTATCATCACATCACCACACGCCAGACTGGATAGCATCTTCAGCAACAACGGTTGTAGCTCCACATAAACCTTTTAAGTTACTTTCGAGCTCTCTAATGTCAGTTATCCAACTAAAAACTAGCTATCACAATGACTATAGGACATAAAATTTTGGAAAAGAGCTCTAGAAGTTTGAGCAACAATAACACAGCAACTACGCCTCAATCCCAAGGAAGTTGAGGAGCTATAAAAGTTTGAACAGGTCACAAAATTCCACACCAGCAGAAGTTAATATACTACAGTAGGAACTTATTATCTGTAACATACACTGAGCAAAATGCAAATCACAGAAAGGAAGAAGTGTGATGCGTGTAAATTGTAAAATCAGCAAGGCCAGTTCTAAGGTATACTACAAAAGCTGGCATACAATTGGAATATGCATTAAGCAAAAGAAACGAAAAAGGATGCTTAAAGCAACAAGTAGTAATTCAAAATCACAATAACAAGACTCTCACGTGCACATTATCTTCAGCCTCAATCAGAGTAACAAAGTTCCTAGTTGCCATATATAACAATGCTATTAATCAAATTTGAAAGTAATGAACAGGAAACAATGATCAGAAAGCGCTACTACATAAACCTCTAAAACCAACTTATCAAATAAACTCTATAAACCACTAACCTGAATATAAGGGAAGTATATATCCTTCAGTTTGTATTGTAACTGCTGTATGCTTTCGCTTCTCATCTTTGGATGAAAAATTTCAACCTGTCAATAAGGTAAGGAACAACCTGTCAATAAGGTAAGGAACAATGGTGTTCAAAAGCTGATTATATACTTTCACCAACAATTCCATAACATGTTTGAGACTTATTTCATGGAACCTTTTATTGCCACAATTAAATCGAAATCATTGATGTTCAGTGTGTTAACATATACCAAAACAACAAAGCATTTAAAGCATCAAAATGCTATGAGCAGCCTAAATCCAAACCTAAAACGATTACAGACATTTGTTCTTCGTAAAAATAATTTGGGAAACACCACAATAATAAGCCATTTCAAAACAATTTAGTAATGGAATTATTTTTCAGAGACATTGAAAAAGGTCTCAGTCCATGGAGGATACAACAAATCATAACACTATGAAGAACCACAAAGATTGGACTAAAAGGATCAATTACAATATCACTCATATCATGCTAAATTCTATTCCGAATGAAGATGATACTAAAGAACTCTAATAATAAAAGGGTCAGCAAGAGTCTGGAAGAATATTTTACTTTAGTGAAGCTACCATCAGTTGATTCTCGAATCTCATCTTCCAAGGGGTCTCTAACACTTCCATCGGTCTAAATGAAAGGAAAAAGATATAAACTTAGGAGGATAAGATAAAGAGAAAGAACCGCATACAAAGATGAGAGCCAAAATGATAAGAAGATAGCAATATTAAACAATGATGAGCACCCTCCAAGTGTGTTGAGAAGAAGAACAGCTAATCAGAGATTCTCTCTCAAGATGTAACACAAATACTTTCTTAGACTCCTTTGTCTTTGAAGAAACTGAGGCTCGTCTACAAAAAGGCATCAAGATGAAAATAAGTCCTTTATTTTGTCCAAAATGAAGCCATTATAAACTTTAGCAAGACATACCTTCCCAAATGCATAGATGCAATAGGTCCTCCATAACCAAACATACCAAAGAAAGGCTGTAAAAATAATCGCCATGTCAGATAACCTATAAACAAAAGTCAGCCAAGAGGATGGAGACACAGATAGATACAGAAACAAAATGTAGTTGGATTCCTGGCTGGGTAGTTGGATGAATTAAAAATCAAATTACGTAAGGTATAAATTGTCCAAACTGTTATTAAGAGATAAAGAGCATTTGAAGAAAAGGGGATAAAAAAGGAAGACAGAAAGTTATTTAAGTACAAGTTGGTAAGATTTCAAAGATATATCTAGAGAAACAATTATATTTTCCATTTTAATACTTGTAATGCTCTTGTTGCTTGGTTTTTTCCGTATAAAGTAGTATAAAAATAGGTCTTTGAAGAAAAGGGAATAAAAAAGGAAGATAGAAAGTTATTTAAGTACAAGTTGGTAAGATTTCAAAGATATATCTAGAGAAACAATTATATTTTCCATTTTAATACTTGTAATGCTCTTGTTGCTTGGTTTTTTCCGTATAAAATAGTATAAAAATAGGTCTTTCCTATTATCGATAGCTGACTATGAATTTCAGCTTCTGCCTCCAATGGATTATCAACTATCAACAAAATTATGCAAAGAGTAGTGTGTACATGGGGCTAAACCTTCAAATCGACAGGTATATAAATGTCAAAAGAAGCCTTACAAGGAAAAGAATTGCAAAGTAAACAAATATCAAGTTGAAGTGGGATAAAGGTATGTCTTGATGTCTCGTTATCAGATGACTCTGAATCACAACAAGAACTTTACGTAGAGGCTGCTCTTCATTGTAATAAGTACAAACTCTAGGCAACAATTGTCATTTCGTGATTTTTTGCCAAAATGGATGCAAAAAGATTTTTATGCCCATCTTACTGATCATGGGAAAGACAGTCTTGGAGAACCAATAATTTGAAGACACTATGAAATGGTAGAAATGAGTATGTCATTGAAGATTCAAGATTTCTCAAAAATTGAGATTATCTTGTGTTACTGAGTTCATTTATGTTCAAAACATTTAAGAGACAACATACATGATACTTCACAGAGCCAAGTTGCAGGGAAATGACAAGACCAAAATAAGGCATGAGTTCATTACAATGAGTAACTACCGGTCTCTATGTTCAAGCTGGACCTGTTACTAGCCCGGATATTTCAAAACTCAACAACTGCACAGTAATTCTGTGTATTGGAAATCCATTTAATAGTAGTCTTTTGGATACGGTTAAACAAACTGTATATTGGAGTTAAAAAATAACCATTAAGTATGGAGGTTTTCCTCCTATGCCTCTGTATCTCAATGATCTATGAAGAGAAGCTCCCATCTTTCCCCTGAAAACATACGACATCACAGAATAAAAATAATAAAAGAATAAAATAACAATGGAAGTGCATTAAATAACAGTAAAGATGAACTATGAAGAGAAGCTCCCATCTTTCCCCTAAAAACATACGACATCACATAATAAAAATAATAAAAAAATAAAATAACAATGAAAGTGCATTAAATAACAGTAAAGATGAAAGAACTGACAACGTAATTGAAGAGGACAGGATCAAGTTTCTAAGCTGGCTTTGAGATAGAAATCACAAAAGAATTGAATGAAGATAGTTGCAGTTAAGGTGCAAATTAGTAAAATACATGCAGCTTTCTCACTGCATCAACTCTTCAGTTCTATTTATCTGATTTGCAGTCTAGACAAACTATGCGCACTGTATTGATCACTTTCTGGAGACCCTGAGTGTTACAAAAGCATTTTACTCTTTGTTTTGATCTCTCATCGCAATGCATCAAGCCATCAAAGAAGTGCATGAGTTTCTTTATTTAAAAGAAGACATTAATCATTAATCGTTGTTCCCAAATCCGTTACAAGTGGTTTTCCCTCAATTAAAGATAAAGTCTTTCAAAACCAAATGATAGTCATTGCAACAAATAGACCTAGCATAAACTATTTTTTTGGTAAGTGCAAATAGACCTAACATAAATTCAAATAGCAGATACAAAAACAGACCTCTGATTTTTTCTGGAAGTTATTTTCAAAAGAACAACACAACAAAAACAACAACAACAACAACAACAACAACTACCCAGTATAGTCCCACAAGGTGGGGTCTGGGGAGGGTAATACATACACAGGCCTTACCCCTACCCGAAAGGGCAAAAGAACAACACACGGGAAGAAAAATAATCTATCTATATGTGAGAGAGATCTTGATGCATCAAAAGGAATGGTCTAAAACAGTCAAAAGAAAAGAGAAATTAAGGCGTTTCTGCGGAAAAGTTATTCATCCATATAACTTAAAAACTTGAACCATCTAAGACACCAACTTCCATCTTTAAGGACTGATTCAAGTGTCTTGGTGCCAACCTCAAGAAGAAGAACCTTATGCAACACATAAGAAAGTATTTATTAATTTAGAACTCAAAGTTAACTTACAGCCTTAGTCCACGTCATTCTGATAACTCATAAGTTCCCAGTTAAATCAGTGAAACAACAACTTACCACTTGACTATAGAGTTTTCAGCACTTCCATCCATACCAGGGCCTGTGTCAAATATTGTGATCCTCTTCTCAGTTAACTCTAGACTGCAAAATAAGAGAATCAGTGAACGTTATCATGGAGTGTGAGATACGAGCTATTAATCAAGATAATGAAACATCTTGTACAGAGCTATTTATCAAGACAATGATACAGCCGTAGGCGCCATTTAACATAATAGATTTACATAAGTGAAAGCCAGTGAAAGAAAAAAGTAGGAGCCAACAGGAAATAAGACGACATCCAATCTCAGTAAGATATGGTCACGATTAATAAGAAGAGCGGAGCTACACAACTACTGCCAGCAGCAGGTCAAACAAATAAGTGTGAGCACATGCAGAAAACGATAAGAATATATTATAAATCCTTGGAATTCATGTTAGGCGGCAATATCAAAAGGATCATTTAGTTTAGAAGTTAGTTGAAGCATGAACTGAATTGAATAGGAAAATTGAAACCATCCAGTATATCCGAAAAGAAAAAGGATACAGTTGATGATGGCACAGTTGCAAGGCGTTAAAATGATTAGAAAAATGAGTTACAAGTTTCTTGGGGAATTAAATTATCCAGTTTCAGGCAAGATTCATGTGAACTTTAGTCTGCAATTTAACTGAACTGGACAAAAACAAGATTACATGTTACTGTATGGGTCAAAATCCGACCATCAGATGGTTATCATTAAAGGGAACGGTAAGAGGTCGACCAAGCCATGGTCGTGCCCACGAGGTGTAATGGCGACGCGTATCTCGGCCACTGCCGAGATCAGGCCATCAGAAGACTTACACAGCAGAACGTAATACTTGGGCGAGTGAGGAAGAGCACAATCATGAGAGGACACGCTGGTTAAGAACCATTGGGTAAAAGGGAAATTGACAATATATATATAAGGAAGACAAAGCAGAAAGAAGGGGGATCTGAAGAAGAAGGAGGAAAAACAGAAGACACGAGAGAGACCTCTAAGGAACGAAGAAAGAAGTCTAGATTTCGGGTTACCAACCTTTGTAATCTCCATTGTTGAATCAATGAAGCTAGATCTCATGGTTATCAACGAGATCCCTCCCTTATCTTCTTTGCTTTTACAAATACGGAACAATATATCAAAGATGTAAGCTTATTATTTACATTTAGCGTCTTTCAATCATTCTAAGGAATGTTGCATAAACTCGGTCCCTTTGATTTTAGTACCCATTATGCTTAGATCTAAAGCCAATTATGTTTGGCTAAGATTTACCCTCTATTTTATCGTTAATTGGTTTAACTAAAAGGCTTAACACTTTTTGGTCAAAGATCACCATTTTAGGAAAACACTTGACACTCAGCTCCCAGGATGAACAATATATTGGTATACTCTCAAGTATACATTAACATCTTTAAAACAAAAAATCAGTCTTTAGTAAATATCACACTATCTCCAGTCTTTAAGAATTTGAGTTGATTACATGCTTTATTGAGCTATCCAGCTTCAAAGTTCCATACCTTATTAATCTCCTCTGGTTTGCATGATTAGACCATACAGCCTGCAATGAATTATCCTGATATACAGTGACATGAAGTTAAAGCTTATAATGATGAACATAAATAGAGAAAGTTATGTGCAATATTAGATTCTTACAATCAAATCTGCAAGTGCAGTTTCAAAAGTATATTCTTCGGGTAGCTCCTTCAACAAATCAGTATCCGGCGTAAGATCCCACATATTCTGTCAAATGCAACCATACACTCATTTAACTTATATTAACATATATGCTTGAATAGCAAGCAGCCAGAGACTGAAGTACCAACCTCATATTTATCTGCTTCGGCTGAACCATCCTGTATGGAAAATAGAAATAACAAAAGAGTTTAAGTTCCATGCACTACTAACATTGTAAATACATTAACATAATTAGGTGTTGCATTAGGTAATTCCGTGTTTAAAAAATTATTTACACTCTCAGTGCATAAGGCCCCATTTGTCCAAAAATAAGTGTCTGTTTAAAAAACTTCTCAAATAAGTGTTCGCTTATCAAATTAGCCAACTTCAAACTTCAAATATGGAATTTGAAGTTTGAAACATAGGTTTTAGGTTTTCAAAGTTTTTTTCAGTCACAACCTTCGACTATGTTTTCATGTCCAAATACAACTTCAACTTCCAGTTATTTTTTTAAACTTAACTTCAAATACTACTTTATTTAAAATAAAAAAAATATCAACCAATAACAAAAGCAAATGGGACCCAAAAAAAGGAGAAATTTGAAATAAGGAAAAACAAAATAAAACAGACATACACAAAGCCTTAACATATGAGACTTGTAATTAGGCTTAAAATTCCTGAAATCCAACGTCTTTGTTATCTTGTTCTCAAAAGCATCTACAAAATGCAAATCCTTGCTCGTCCAATAAATCTGTCTTTTGGACTTCAGGCCGAACTCTGTTCTTCCCCCAACTTTTATGCATTCTCGCTTCACTACAATGATAAAGTCCTCAACCGGCATTTCAGTGGGCGGTTCAGGTACTTGCAACTCCAAAGTTATACCATTTGGCAACAGAACCCGAAAATAACAAACTTTTTCTTCAATACCAACTTCCTCATCTGAATCAGTTTGGATTCTTAGAGCCCTAGTTGGTTTCTTCCTTGGCGTTTCTGCTGAAAAATCTTCACTCTGTCTTTTGCTCGACCTACCACATGCCAAAAACAAATGGTAGTTACATAATAATTATAATAAATAAATAAATAAATAAATTTCTTTGATGCCTGTTAAAATCAACCTTAGCGAAAGCCTAGGTATAAAGCAAAAAGAATATGCTAAACACTCGAAAAACAAAACCACACACACATATGCATATAACATACTCTATATATAGCATCTCAAAACAAAAACAAAAAAACAAAAAAGAAAACAGATTTTATACCAAATAAAGTAAAAAAGAAGAGATATTGACTGATCCTTGGCTTGAGTCAATCGATGTTTACTCTTTATAGTAATAGTATACACGTATGCATGGAAGAATAATAGAATGAACCATTTTTTTTAATTTGTGTATATATACATATGTGAAAGAAAACTTGATTAAGTGACTTACATTTTGTTTTCTTGCATCTTCAAATGGTGATTAGCAGAAAATGGATTTGCAAGGGTTACAGAAAGAAGAAATATATAGTAACAGAGAAGGTTTTGGGAGAAAATGATGAGAAAGAATTGGAAAAGACTGCGGGTAGTAAATAGGGAGTAGTACTAGCATGCAGCAGAGGCCTGAACGCTATAGTGGCCAGCTGGCGCAGTACGCACCCTTTTTTGTCTATCTGTTTTTTTCTGGGGTTACTAATAGGTGCAAGTTAGCATTTATATTCTTGAAATAGAGAGAGGAAATATGAGCACAGCTATATTGCGCCCAATGATCATTGAGCACCGCAAATTATCTGAGGCCACGTGTCTTGTACCATTTGAAATACCTGGCGTTAAAACTTAAACGGACAAAAGGAAGTGGGTCCGATTGGCTGACCTGTCAAATGTGACACGTTGATTGCTCACACCCTGCGTTCCTCACCATTTTTTATCTCCTTTTCTCGTCCATTAATATTCTTTTCTGCTGTCTTTAAAATGTTTTCGATCTTATTGGAATTTCACGAGATTTTCAAGAAAATCTCCCAAAGTTTTAACTTACTGTTATACTGAGATCTCAAATCCTGTTAACACACAATGAAAAGCATAGTTAACCTTTAAGGGGTGGTTTAGTCGCCAGTTAGAGTTTTGCAGGTATTAGTTATATATGTATTAGTTATGTAGATATTAATTATATATATTTTAGTTATGCAGGAATAAGTAATGCATGGATTAGTTATACATGTATTAGCTATACAGGGATATGCAAGGTTGAGTTATGTTGGGATTAACTACACATGGATTAGTTATGCGGGGAGTATAAGGATTAGTAATATAAATGTAATGTGAGTGTATTTATTATTAGCTTACTTTATTTTATTAAAATTGGTAGTATAGTTTAAATATATTTTTCTAAACAAAAAAAACACAAGTTTGAATAAAGGGTATTGTATAGGGTTAAATTTGGTTCATAACGCCATCACGCCAAATGGACACGTCCCTTATAATAAGGGCGACCCGAGTGAGGGCACGGCCCAAGCTGGTGAAGAAGAAGTGACGTCGTTTAGTGCCTGACCTTTTTACTGAGTAGAAGCCACCAACTTTTGTACCTTTTTGATTATTTCGAGGGAGGTCTCCTACTATATAAAGGAGACCTCCACATTGTAATAGAGAGGATGATTCTCGGATAATGCAATTTCTCTCTCTATCTCTCTCTCTTGTCTCTTTCTTGATTTTCCAACCATTGCTTCCCTCTAAGCTAAGTCTATTTCACTACGCATTGACNTGATAGAAGCGGCAAAGCTCTTCCGCCAGGGGGTTAAGCGGAAAGCTATATCCGATCCTAAGAGCGTACTCATAGAATGTGCAGAACTCGGGCCTATGCACATTGGCATAGTCCGTCCCAGCCGGAGCCATTTCAACATGGCCAGGAATGTTGTATCTAGTTCTAATGGCGTCCAGGTGAGACTGAAGCAACTCGCTATGCTCCCAGGGATAAGAGGGGCATGTCGTATTGAAATCTTTCCGGACACTCAAATCCTTCGGTACAACATTATTTACCGTTAAAGGAACAAGGGTCTTCTCCACTTCTTCCCCTTTACCATCGGAAGGGGGCGGAACCCTGGAAGAAGCGCCGTCCTTAGTCCTTTTGCTTTCTTGACGGCGTTTCACCATGATACGATTTATAAGAATGAAGTGTTAGTAATGAGAGATACGATCCTCAGAAATGGCATTTCTTTGAAAGCGATACAACTCTTGCAAGAAAGAAAGATGAAGAAACAAAGGGAAACTCTCCGAAGGTTCGAAAGATGAACCTCTTTGAACCGCTCCTCTATTTATGGGAATGAGGCACACGGAAATCGAAGAGGCACAATTCTAAAACTGGCGCGGGAAGCCAAAACGTCACGTCATGTTCTGAACAGTCTCGGGAACCCAAAAATAATGATGACGCATGAGACTGGTGACGTCACCTTAAAAAAGGGGGTCGCATGTCAACGGCCCAATAAATATTATCCACGCTCACGCTCTTCGAAAGAGACGCCTATGGGCGCGGCCAAATTTCCGTAAAAAGCAAATCGTGCATGTCCGTCCATTGAAGACGGTCATCGAGTACGTCTCCAACGAACGGAGGGACTAACTGTATAGGGTTAAATTTGGTTCATAACGCCATCACGCCAAATGGACACGTCCCTTATAATAAGGGCGACCCGAGTGAGGGCACGGCCCAAGCTGGTGAAGAAGAAGTGACGTCGTTTAGTGCCTGACCTTTTTACTGAGTAGAAGCCACCAACTTTTGTACCTTTTTGATTATTTCGAGGGAGGTCTCCTACTATATAAAGGAGACCTCCACATTGTAATAGAGAGGATGATTCTCGGATAATGCAATTTCTCTCTCTATCTCTCTCTCTTGTCTCTTTCTTGATTTTCCAACCATTGCTTCCCTCTTAAGCTAAGTCTATTTCACTACGCATTGACATATCTACAAACATTCTTGAAGCAATAATCATCTCTTGGGATTATTATATTTGATTACGATTTACCCCTATATATTTTCGATTGTTTTTAAGCTTGTAAAATACGAATATAATTTTTGAGCTAAACAGGTATTCTTGTCATTTTGTGTTTTAATACAAGTATTACTAATACATGTATAAGTTATTCCACCTTCTACCATGCATAAATAATAGAAAAAATCATAATTACCCCATTGGGGTTGTACCAAAGTTTCAGTTGCACCCCTTAAAAACACGGGTGTCTTATGACCCTCCTGGTTTTATTTGAACTGTAATAAAGACCACATTTTGAGATAATCACCCGTTTCAAGAAAATCAGTGGATTACACGCACCAACCAGCTTGTGCCACGCCATTTCTTTTTCATTGTTTTTATTTTTATCATTATTTTAATTTTATCTTTTTATATTTTTGCTTCTTCATTTTTGGGACCTTCTTCTCCGACGAGCTCAGCATCGCCGGAGATTTCCACCGGCAGAACTCCATTAAACCCACCTCACTTTCCCACGCCTTCTCTTCTTCCCAAAACAAACCCATCAGAGACTCATCCTTCGCAAAACTCAGTCAATACCCACCCCAAAACTCAGTCAATACCTTCGCAATGGAGCTCAAATCTGAACTACGAACTCACCAATAGAGAATCAACACCTAGATATTAATTTGAACAAATACTCGCAAAATCGAAGAAACGTAGTTCCTCGTCTTCACTGCAAATTAGTTTGGAATTTCTGACTGAAACTGCCTCAAATCAGTTGCAATCAACTCCCAATTGTGGATTCAGCTGCGATTTATGTCTCCAGCAAGATTAGACCATACCCAATTGATTTCGAACTGGCTATTTTGGACTTAGAGCGAAAACCCCCAAATTTGGTACCACTGTTCATGAGTTTGAAATCTGATAGAGTTTCTTATTATTGTTTAATCTTTTAAAATTTTATTTTATGAGATTGAAGTGAGCTCTATCATATTAATCTCCATTATTTCAGGTGAGGAGTAAATGAAGAAGAAGAGAGAAGAAGGATAAAGAAAAGGAAAACTTAGAAAAAAATATAATAAGAAAAGTAGGGGAATACATGTTAAAAAAAGGTGGCGAAATTAAACTTTTAACTTGTATTTTTTTTGTCTCCCACTGTCACGACCCAAAATCCACTAAGGGTCGTGATGGTGCCGGACACCACTGTCAGGCAAGCCAACCGAAATACTTAATTAAATTATCGTTTTATACTCTTGAAATCTATGATTTTCCTTCAAATTTACCAATCAAAAGGATAATCGTCTCAAATCAAATTAAATGATAAGCAGTTAATACAAAATACTTTATAACCATCCCAGAACCCGGTGTCACAAGTGCATGAGTAATTTCTAAGAGATCGAATAAAGTACAACAGCTGTCAGGAACACAAATTGGACAGAAAGTAAATAAAATTCTGAGGGAGACTATACTAGCTGCGGGCCGCCTCGAGGAAATACAGCTCACCTAGTCTCTGTGTCACCCATACTGCAACGCCCAGTAGGCCACTAGAAGTACCTGCACTTGTGCAACAAAATGCACAGCAAATGTAGCATGAGTACGAAAACAACGTGTACTCAGTAAGTATCCCGCCTAATCTCGAAGAAGTAGAGACGAGATGGCAACTTCGACACTTACTAATGGTCCAATAATAATATTATTAATGCGATGACTCACGGATTTATTAAGAACAACAGTAGATTCAAATGAGTCACTAAACAGGTGAAAGTTCCTTTTTTATTTAAAGTCTCCGGATTCATAATCCATTAATTAACAATTATCTCAAGTCGGGGAGAGCAGATAGCAATATCAATAAATCTCAAGGCAAGCAATACAAGCATGCGCAACTCATGCCGAGGTCGTACGACCCGATCCAACATAAATGTAAAATGTGCACTGCTGAGGGTCGAGCGACACGAACCATAGATGCATCTATTACCCCGCTCGCGAATCATATATGCGACGCGGTCAAATTTAACTAAACAATCACCCTGCTCGCGAATCATACATGCGACGCAGGTATACATAGAAGTACATGCTCAAACAACAAATTAAGAATTTATCGGGGAACATGTATCCAAATAAAAGCCAATTCTCTTTTAATGATTTAAGAAAATGTAGTTTAATCCTCTTAGAAATTCATTTACCAATTCGATAGGATTTAAGAAATTCAATTGTCAATAAGATCACAGATATTCCAAGTATAGCATGCTTTTGGGTCCTAGACTACCCGGACTTACACGTATTAGTAGCTACGCACGGGCTCTCATCACCTCGTGCGTACGTAGCCCCCACAATTAGGAGCACATAACCAATCATTTCACCTATGGGGACAATTCCCTCTTCCAAGGTTAGAAAGGAGACTCACCTCGCTCCGAGGATCCATAACCGGCATTCCACGCCCTTCCGAAGACTCGAATCGATGCTAAATGCTCCAAAGCTAGCCAATAATTATTCAAATCCATTAATATATGCTCAATTACTCATTACAATCCAATTTATAACAATTCCTAACCCCGATCGAAAGTTGACAAAAACGCCCTCGGGCCCACATGCCCGAATTCCGAAATTTTTCGAAGAAAAAGTTTACCCATAACTCCACGAACTCAAATATATAATTTACTCTCAAT